CATCAACTGATCTCAATTATTTTAAAGGATCACTATAGGGTCAGGAACACAAACATGTATTCCTGGCCCTATAGTGTTAAAACCACCATCTAGCTCCCCTGGGCCCCTCATGCCTTCATAAATATAGCAAAATCTTACTGTATTCAAGCCTCAAGCTGTACATCTGCATGCTGTTTGGCTCAGAATAGCAACCTGTCTGCTGACATCATCAGAAGTGGTGGCCTGATCCAATTACAATGGCTGAGACTGACAAGGAGGCAGATCAGGGGCAGAGCAAGCATGATTCAAACACAGCCCTGGCCAATCAGCATCTCCTCATAGAGATGAATTGAATCAATGAGGAAAGTTCAGTGTCTGCATGCAGAGGGAGGAGATACTGAATGTTTGGATGCATTTTAGGCAGCCATGACCCAGGAAGGATCTCTAAAAGCCATCTGAGGAGTGGCCAGTGAAGTTATCCCTAGGCTGTAATGTAAACACTGCATTTTCTCTGTCAGACAGTGTTTACAGCAAAAAGCCTAAAGGTAACGATTCTCCTCACCAGAACAAATTCAATAAGCTGTAGTTGTTCTGGTGACTATAGTGTCCCTTTAATCTAACCTAGATATGCTAACTTTAGTAGCGATTATCAGAACTGCCATTTTGTTTTACGTAGAGGCAGCCATCTTGTAATTTCTAAAGGCAAAGAAATGTTAATCCACACCAACTAAACCTGAGCCTCTCAATTTCCCCCTAATGAGCAACAGGTTTCTAAAGTATATACAGTACATCAAGTCATGATCCCACTTTCCCTACAATGTGGCCCCTGACTCCGCCTCTCAACAATTTAGAGAAATCAGGTATTCACAAAAAGTAGCAAAAACAATGGAAATCTGAGAATAAATAAATATATATTAATTCGTTCATTCGTGTGATTTCATGGACTGGCAATGGATTGAGAGGGGAGATCCACTTCTAGAATGGAGAGTGAAATCAAATTTTATTAACGACACGGAGGCTCCTATTATGCATTCTCTTTCTTTATTATACTCCCAGCAGCAAGAAAAAAGGCAAGGATGAGAGAATCATAGAAAAAAGAAAACCACGACAATAGCCTGGTAACAGTAGCACCAATCAGCATCCAGCATAATCTATAAAAGTGTGGTGCTCCTTGACTCCTCCTCTTTCTTGCTGCTCCCTCAGACAAATTAAGTACCTCATCTTGCTACTCCTATGATCTCTTATACATTTATTTGTATTTGCTAATTCCTATACATTATTTGGATGTTCTTTAGATTGTAAATTATTGTATATTTTTTGTATATTTATTGTCAGTTCATACTGTCTTACTGTGGTGTATATCCTTCTGGTGTCAGTTGAGTGCTTCCTATTTGGTGTCAGGGGACTGCTTCCTCCCTGCCCTCACCTTAGGGTCGTATTTCTCTTATTTTCCCTGTTGGGTGACTTGTTGTAACTCAGCCGTTTTCTGGTGCTTGTGTTTGCACCTCCGGTTTATGCCTGCGGTCTGTCTGCGGTTTTTCGGGCGGCCACGCATGCGTGGCCGTTTAGTTTCACTTTCCCATTACAGTTCGGCCGCGCATGCACAGTTTGTGGCGCAGCGGCCATCTTTTTGCTTTCCGTCGCCGTGAGTGTAACTTTCACTCGCAGCGGACATTTTAAATGCAATTTCGGCGGATAACTGATGCGTAACAAGCTTCAGCTCATAACGGCTTCTCCTACCCGCCTAAGCACTCTCCTAAGACCAGTGGCGTCGCTAGGGGGGGCCAGAGTGGGCCATGGCCCCCCCTACATGATGCTGTGCCCCCCCTTAGGCCCCCCCCAAATGCTGGCAATTAGCTGGCCATCTGCTTCCCTCGGACTGTTACAGCCCGAGGGAATGCAGTGCTGAGGTGCTGGAGGCTGTCTGTGGCTGGAGGGAGCACTGATTGGCTCCCCGGCACAGGCTCCGCCCCCAAACGAAGCCCCGCCTCCCGCAGGTAAGCCCCGCCCCCGCCGTTATGCAGCAACCCATGCTGCTGCTGAAGATGGCTGCCTGACGCCCACAGGTGACAGGTAGGCTGGGGGGGGGGTGTACACACACACATTGCCCCCATACACACACACTGCCCCATACACATCCCCATACACACACACTGTCCCCCATACTGCCCCCCCCATACACACACATTGCCCCCCCATACACACATTGCCCCCATACAGCCTCCCACACACACTGCCCCCCATACAGCCTCCCATACACACACACTGTCCCCCATACTGCCCCCCATACACACACATTGCCCCCCATACCGCTGCCCCCATACAGCCTCCCATACACACACACTGCCCCACACACTGCCCCCCATACACACACTCTGCCCCC